ATAGATGATCATGCTTCTGTTGTTTGCCTGTTAGTGTTCTGCTCCTGTGCATTTTGGATCAGCAGTAGTTATTCTTGGCTCTAGTCTGGCAAAGATTCAGGTCAATTTTGCCTCTAGCCCAACCTGGCTGAGTGACAACATCAGTCTAGGCACGTCAGGACGAAATACGAAGACATTAGCAGCTTTTATCATGAAATTATGGTCACAGTAACTGAATGCATCATAAGAGAAAAATACTGAATATGACTCATGGGCCTGTAGTACAACAGATATTTCCCACTGCTTTTCCCACTGTATGAAAAATCAAGCAATAATATCTGAGACCCTGTATTGTCATTGTTATTACAGCAGAATGCAGGGAGCAGAAGATGAATGACAGTTACAGCCCTGTGCTGAAACATGTGGCTCTGCAACTGCATGACTTAACTGTATAAAATGAGAGAAGCTACAGTGCAAAAAACTGAATAAAGCAGCATTTTGGAGATTTTTTGTGTCACACTTCCTGCATTTTTTAGTCTAATCCTTTTTGTTGTGGCCAGTTTTGCAAAAACAGAAAGTGTGTTTGCACTCACCATTCTGTTCCTCTGTTGCTTCTCAGCTTCACTTTAACTTAAATTTCTGTTCTGTTTTGTCATTCAGGAGTCATTCAAACAAAATAAGAAGCTCACACTCCACGTGTCGCTGCTGACAGCCCTCGTGACAGTTCGTTGTTGTCATCTGACATGCTGAACAAATTATTAATGCGATGATGAGGCAGCGCTCTCGTCAGACGCAGCACAGATCTGCCAACAGTACCCGACAGACGAGACCCGACGAGCGCTGGTAGCAAACTCAACCTGCCTGAACCCTGATGACGTGAAAACAAGTGTGTCTGTGTTTGTGTGTGTGTTGTCACTGTTCAGTGTGTTTCCACATCAGTTCGGACCTGAAACGTTTCAGCGTGTCTCCATCGGAAGAGAGTTTCCTCATAGCAGGAAGTCAGCACGCCCACACTTACTCAACACACTCATACAAACACACGCCTCAGTCAATAGACTCAAACATAAAGGCCAGACTTACATATATTACTATTTAGATTTTTTTAGACTGAATTGAACTTCACAAAATGTGTTTCTTCAGAAAGCTGCAGAGAGTTTGAGCTTGATGCTGTTGTTATGCAACTCGATCATGAGTCAAAACTCTACCACGAGCTTAGCAAAGTTTGGATGATTCACAGAGACGCAATAGACACATTAATGGGAAACACAGCAGGCTGGAGTAAACCAGAATTACAAATCAACACGTACATTATCTGTTCATTCACAGAACTGGTTTAAGTTCTCAGAAGTGCTGTTTAACAGAGAATCGAGATAGGAGGTAGATGGAAATGGACAATCGAGTTTCACCAGATTTTCATGGATGTCAAACATTCTCGTCTTGCTGTGATGAATTTTTGTTTTCTTTTTGTGCACGGCTCATTTGGGCTTTTACCTGGAAAACAGTAAATGTTATAAGAACCACAGAGTGCAAACTGACAATAAAAAAATGCTGCAGAGGCACCTTATCTCTTTGGTTGTGGTTTAAGTAATTCTGGATAATCAGTAATAAATAACAGATATAAAAAATGGGTTTAATGTTAGGGAGGTCCTGAGGTGAGGATTTATTTGTTCCTCTGTGCTTTAATCTGGACCTCGGGACAGTTGGGGGCATTTGTTCAGCCGACCTCGGGGATCTTGACATAATGTGTAAACTTAAAAGATCACAGAGGCAAGATGGTGCAAACCCGTGCAAACTCTGGCAGTTGGTGGAGGAACTCCAATATGGGGGACGTGAAGTCTTGCTTGCATCTGAAAATTAATAACTGTCCCGCAGCGTTTTGGACCAGCTGCAGTCGGCTAAGCAGTGACTGACTGACACCTGAATAAAGACTCTTACAGTCGAGGTGAAATGAATGCACAGGTAACGCTCTCAAAGTCTCTGAAACAGCAGAAAGATTTCATTTTTGTGAGTAGCTGGAGATGAAGGAAGCTAGCTTTGATGACAGCATTCACGTGTTTGTTCCTCGCAAAGTGCTTTTTATAAATGTTTAAAGAACCGAGGTCACAGAGGTCAGGAAACGTCTGAAACGTGTGACGAATATGCAAAAAATCAGGAACAGCGAGGCGACTTCACAGCACTGCATATTTTCAGGTTCCTGACAAAATGAACTTATTATGCTGAATCATGCAAACATCGGGATTCTTCTGTCACTAGAAAACTTCAATGTGGCAGCTGGAGGGGATTTTACTACGTCCATACTTCTGGGTACATTTTGAATGCAGCATAACATGTGAGTTGATTTATATTTCAAAATCTGCAGTTTTAAAATAAAGCACTTTGTTTATATTTGAAGTACATTGGAGTACAAGTGCAACGCGCCATAACGTAAAGATGCTGATGTATTACATTCCTCTGCTGGTCCTATCCATTCTGTCATCCAATCATGTCGAGGATTGTAAGGTTAACTGTATGTTAGTCCTACAATCCACACACACACACACATGAACACCACACCCCCCCTCCTGGACACACCCCTGGCCATAGCAGACGCTAAACCTTCAGGAGGTTGCTTGTTGTGCACAACATTTTCCTGGAAACACTGCATCCTCTCGAGCTTCTAATTACATTCATGTAACAAATTTAAAACAATCTGTTGCTGTGGGTTATATTTATAGTAAAAGTACTCATCTTTTTAGGTCCCATGAGATAAAACATGGGACAGTTATCGAAGGTTTTCAGAGATAAGAAGAGAAGAATGTCTTAAATTGATCAAGCTTACCAGATGTTTCTTAGCCATGCTGTTCTGTGTGATTCAGGTCTGTAAGATGTAAATCCGCCTCTGATACTGAAGCTCCGGCTCACTTTACTCGCACAACTAATAAACTAATCAGCAGCTCAGCAAATCGCTAACTAGCACTGGAATAAATGGGCGCTCCCCATTTGTTCTCTCTCTTTCCCACCTTCCTCAAATGAAACTAATTACTTACTGACACACCGGGGGCAAGAAGAAACAAGCGAACGCAGAGGGAAAGTGATAGTAAACGAGGGAGAAAAAACAGAACATTAGGTGAAAGAGAGAGAAGAAGCAGCAGGAATAGACTTGTCCTGTTTTTCTGGCTGTTATTACCTTGGTTTAAGGTGTGCAGGTAGAGAGGGAGAGGCAGAGAGACCTGAGGGAAGAGAGAGAGAGAGAGAGAGAGAAAGAGAGTGAGGGGGAAAATTAGTCAGAAAGAAAAAGAAGAAAAAAGAGATGGAGAGATAATGAAAGAGAGGAAGAGTGAAATGCTCCGGGCGTTGATTATTAACACACCAGCAACAGCTGCTCATGAATCATTCATGTCAAATCACACAGCACATCGCTAACAGCAGCAGTACAGGAACATGCACTAATGTAACACGCATTCATATAAAACAGCAACATAACAAACAGCAATATTAGCCTGCACCCCCTGACACTGATGGCTATTTACCACAGAGGAAACTTAAAAGTCAACCCTTTTTATGAGAAAACACTGACTCAACCTCACACCTCCACACTGTTTTTCACTCGTCGCTCGACAACGG